TCTAGTTTCCATTTTCAAAATACATGTGGCCTGAACTTCTTACATCCTGATGGTTTATTTCTGAGAGTGTCATATCTGTGAGAGAGCCTTGGGAGAGAGCATTCCAAGAAGCTAAGGCATCTACTGTAAGGCTTATTCTGACATAACTCAGTGAATCATTCAGCATCCTGTCTGTTGCAGTGTGTTGGTCAAAGCAGCCATAAAACTGCCTGATTCAAAGATAGGGCCTAAATGTCATTACTCCATGAGATGTGTGCCATAGATTTTGTGTCCATGATCTTAACCTTATGCAACTATTATAAAGGAACATTGATTCATCAGTCATTTTAACATCTTTTTTAATAAAAAAAATTTTGGAGAAAATTTTAGATGAACATACAGTTGTAAGACTTTGTCCACTCTCCACCAGTGGTGACATTTTGCAAACATGTTGATACACTACAATCACAAGTAGAGGTATCGGTATTAATCAAATCCACTTTTCTACAAAAGTCTTTGTAGCTGCTTATTGGAGCTCTTTTTTTTTACTCCTTTATGGTGTCATGTTTCTCTGATTCTTTGTAATCCTCATAGCCTTGCATTGGTATCTTCACATTGAAAAAAATAGTCACCTCTTCTAGACTTCATGGTCTGACTCTACCAGACTAGAGAGCCTGAGGGTCTCTCAAACCTTTTCTGTGGATGCACCTGCTCAACTCTTCTCACTCCCTTCTGGAGTAATGTCTTAGAATTGTATTCTTTTTTTCAATTCCACAGAGCCATGTTGAATGATGACAGCCACATCAGATGCTAAGAGCAACCCATGGCTTTTCCCTAGGGCTGTGCCCTGAAATGCCAGTGCTTTGTGTGCAGGCTCCACTTCTCTCCCTTCCTCCTAAAGGGGATATTTTAGGATTTTGCTCTCTTTCTGTACCTTGTAGAGTCATTCAAAGTGCCCCAAAGGTCATCTTTCTCTTTTCCCTAATGCAATGTACTGTTATTCCAGATATTGATTTATAAGCTCATTTCTCTCTCTCCTGCAGTAGCAGTCTCCAGGTTGTGTACCTTCTACAAATTTTGCAATATTAAACTGGTTGTTGAATTCCATTTTGGCTGCTCCTATCTGTGTGCCATCTGTGAGGGTGCATGGAGTCTCAGCTGCAGTAGCACATAATGCTGGTTGCCATGAGTCCCAATCCCTTTACTCTGTTCTAAGCTTTCCCTAGATGATCCAGCTGTGATGATTTCCCTCATGTTTTGGGTGTGGCCAGAAGGAAGCAGGCCTCCAGAAGTAGTTCTCTAGGACAAGGACAATGCCACAAAAGGCTGTGGAAGCCAGACCTTCACTTTGCATTCTCTTTCCCCCACAGAAGAAGTTGTCAGCCAGAGGGAATCTCTCTAGGTGCTCAGTTTTGCTTCTCTGAAGTGGTTAGGTGATCTAAGTGAAACTGCTCTGTCTACCATGTCCAATGTATCTAATTTTAGATTTTGGGGTCTATAGGATTCTGGAACATTTCTGCTGTACTTAAGAGTTCTTAGAATGTATTTTCATCCTTGAATGGTTGTCAAATCAGTGTTTCTGTGCAGGGTGAAAACTGGGACCTCCTATTCTGCCATCTTGCTGACTTCAAATTTTTTGGTCTTGTTCTCAATCCAGTTAACAATCTCTGCCCTTTAATTGGAACACTGACCAATTGCGTATAATTTTCAATACATTTGGATTTAGATCCACCATTTTTCCCTTTTTTTCTATTTGTCCACTCTATTCCTTGTAGCTCTTTTCCTTTTATTCTGATTTCCTTTGATTGTGTACCTTTTAAAAACGATTCCACTTTATAGCTCTGCCTTGTTCATTATTTTGTTATTTTCAAGTCACACTACTGTTACATGTGGATTAGTTTTTATCATTCCATTACATATCATTTACCCTGATTTTCTATTCTTCCAGTGTTGTGCCTTCTCTATCTTTTTAGATCAGTTAAAGATTTTTCAACTGATTTTTTCTGTTTTTTGAATATTTTACTTTTTTGTTACTCTTTTTGTTTGTGTGTTTGCTTCAAATTTTAACTTACATTCCAAATAGCAGAAACAAAAGTTATTTAGTTTACTGTACTTTTCAAAAAATTTCAGGGGATTTAAAGTCCTTTAAGTTTTATGACCTGCATTCATCTTTCATGGTTTTCCAGATTACTTTTTTCTAAAAATTTCTCTACTTATTAAAGATACTTCAGAATGTCGATGTCTATTTAGATTTACCCAGAATTGTATCCATTTCTCTCTACTTATCTTTCCTTCTTGTATCTCTGTCTTTCTATTTAGTATGTTTTAGATGATCTCATTGATTTTTCCATCTCTTACACTATCTTACTTTCTTCTTCCTTTATGCTCTGCATTCTGAATAACTTCTTCAGATATTTATTGTGTTTCATTCTTCTGGCCAGTGGACCTATTCTGATATTCAGTCTATCCTTTGAGTTGTTAATTTAACTCGATTTTTCACTTCATCCATCATTTGGTGTTTAAATTGGTTGTTTTTCAAATATATATTTTTTCTTAGTGTTATGTGTTCTCTTCCTCATGTTTTCATACTACTTTTATGTCCTTATTTTAAAATACACTTTATGTCATTTTTTGTTTTAGTTAACTGAAATTCCATTACATTAATTGCTTGATGGCTTAATTTGGCAGTTTGTTGTCTCTTCTCTTGTTTCTCATTTCATCCTATGCTTCATAACTCTGGTTGATGAAGTCATGTGTATCAGTAGATGGCCCCCTTTGGCCTAGGTTGTGGGTGTGTTTCTGTAGAGTTTCTTTTCGCCTTATGTTCCAGAGTTGTTCTCAAAGCCAAATTTTATGTTAATTCTGGCTTGGGGGATCCTTTAGCACACAGAAAATGCAATAAAAACCCAAACCCAGTTGAAAGCAAATCACTGTGCAGAAATTCATTTAAGGATGAATCTTCTATCCTTCCACTCCATCTTCCTAACTCCCCTTCCCTACTCCAGCTTTGATATCTGATAGTGAAGATTTCTTGTTATTTCCCTTTTGTAATTGATTTTTTTTTCTGGTCTAGTTTCACTTAAGAGTCTTACTCTTTTTTTTTTCTTTTAGATCATTTTTTTAATGCTTTTTTTCTCATCTCTTTAAGCTGATAAAGTAACTCTGGAATACTCAGATTGTCATGAAATACACTTGGGACTCAGCTACTACTATTAGGTTTGTAGTTTTTTCTTCATTTTTAGCCTCTCTCTCTCTGTCATCCTATCTTGCTTTCTTCCTTTCTTCTTGTCTCTTTCTCCCTTGGTGTTGAATTATAGCCACACAAAATCTTTGTTCTGTTATGTTCATTTAGGTGATTTTCAGTAGGAGGCCTTTTTAGGATATCCAGTATACCATATAGATGGAAATGTTTTTCCTGTATTTTTAAATGTCATTTCTATCCTCCCACTCCCTGTTTATCTGTTTGCTTATTTCAAATAAAAATATACTACTTAAAAAACTTAGTATGACAGTTAAGTCTCTGATAATTTAAAAACATAAATTATAATTTGTCTTTAATCTTTCTTCTAAAAAACCTAGTTTTCTAATGAAAGTTTGAATTCTTGTGAAACAGCTACCACTTCAGTGACATTACAGAGTAAAGAGTGGATTCTTTTGTCTTTCAGGATTGAAGTAGTCTCCGCTTTGCAAAGTTAAATTTTCTGAAATTCTGGGATTGATTTATTGTGCCTCTTAGGAATGGATTCCAACTTGCATAAAATTCAACCTTATGTAACCCTTTACTTTCTTCCTTCTTCCCTTTGGTTCTGTTTTGAAAGTGAGCTTTATTTCATAGTCTGTACCTAATTCACTGATATGAGTGTATATTACCCATGTAAAGGTATTCCTTCTATGAAAGGGACAACTTTGTGTTGTGATTGTTTCTGTAGTACTGCCCTGGGACAGCCTCCTTCAAACCTTGGCTGCCTCCTCCTCGTTTGCTCTCTGAATTCCAAGATCATCAGTTTTTTCTATGCAAATTCAGAATTCTTTCCATGTTATGCAAGACACCTTTAAGCTCCCATCTCCTTTCTTTGTTTCTTAATCCCATCCCCATTGGATGACTCTAAGCATTTTTCACAGAGATCCCCAATATAAGTGTTAACCAAAATTTTCCAAAGGACTTTAACTTATTAGTGTAATATCCACCTGTTGAGTATTGGTTTTACCTTAATGGATATTGGAGCTCCAATTAGACTTTGATCTTGTATGTATGGTGTGTGTTGCCTGTTTTAAAGTCTTAAAATTTTAAGTAGTTATTGCTTTCTAGGCTTGCTGGACTAACCAACAGCAAATATTAAAACCTTTTCAGTCACCTTTATTTATTACCTAACTTTGCATGGTCAGTGGAGCAGACTGTGGCAGTTAAAATAAACTGTTCAACTTCACCATGCAAAAAGTACCTTACCTTAAGTTAGAATAGAATGATTATTATAAGAAGAAAAGTAATTAATTAAAGATCAGAGTAATGCCTTAATTATTTTGTAGGTTTAATTTGTGGAACACAGAGCTAGAAACTTTAATATATTTCTAGTATTTCCTCTTGTTTTTAAGCCTAATTTTTCTTTGTGAAAAGAGTAGAACAAATGCCTCATGATATGTTTCTTAAAGATTCTTGAAATACGTTTCTTTAAGTAAATTATTTGTTAAATTACATTGCTTAGAGTATATTTAATTTCAAAACATTGTCTTGATTTTGCTCATATGCCCATCCATATATTATTTAAAATCCAAAGAGATGAAAAAATTTGGTTATATATCCACATGGTCTCTGTGGTGTATTTGAAAGTACATTTGGAAATATCAAGGTTTACAGGTGACATCTTTTAATTTTTGCATGTGTTATTTATATCCTATGAATGCAAGAAAAAATAAGGACCTCAGGAATTTATCTCCCATGTTCCTAAATACAAAGCAACCTTATCCTTTCTAAAATTACATTCGTTTTTGTGATAGTTTTTCATATTGTATTTCTATTTTAGGCTAAAAATCTCATAGAGAGATTTTTTAATCGACAAGTGGAAACTCTAAGCACACTTGCAAAACGATTGCCTGAAATATACTATATTGAAGGTACTCTCCAAATGGTTTGGATTAATCGCTGCTTTCCAGGGTATGGAATAAATACCCTAAAACATCCAAAATGTCCTGAGTGCTGCGGTAAGTAATGAAGTTTATGAAAATTCACTTCTTTTCATTATGCCTAAGTTAATGCCTATTTGAGGTTGTTTTTTTAGTTTATTTGAGTACTATGTTTTGTTGTCTGGCAGCAAACAAAAATAATAGTTGAGTCAGTTAGAGTTGCTTATCCTGAAAAGAGCTGAATCATATTTCTTCCAGAGTCAGTTGTTGTTGCGTTTACCTTTACATAGTCCGGATTAGGTATCTTTTTACCCTTTTTTTTTTTGTTAATAAGTGCATAAATTTTTTTATTACCTTTTGTTTTTTCTGACTTTGATCCTAGCACTAAAGGATCTGAGCTGCTATCTGGCTTTCATCCATCGTTATCCTTTTTAGAAAGAGTTCCTGTAGACGCTATTTAGAATGAGTTAATGGATTCAAAGTCTTTGAATTTCTATTTTTAAGAGTTGAGTGAGTCAATTAATCTTCATTCTTAGACTTTCTAATGTAAATAACACTAAATTAGTCCCATTTTCATTCCATCTCCTATTATTGTTCTTTTTCCCTCTCTACTGTCTTAGATTAAAAGTCTTTTCAAATAATCAAGCACTAAATATTCTTTTTGCTTTGCTATAATTTGTTAGATTTTTACTTTAATTTTATTTTTAATTTGGCTTTTGCTTAAGGATATGAAAAGTTATCTAGGATATATAGTGTACATTTAATGAAGAAAGCACTTACAAATAACAACTTTGTAACTATTTTGATAACTATTGAGATGAAGCAGTCTAGAGCATGGAATTACCAAACAGTGAAACCAGAACCTAGTAGTTTAGCTGTCTGTTAAATGCATTTATATTTTCATTCAATGAGATAAACTAAAAATGTTACATATTTGCGTCTAATTAATAAATTCCAAGAATTTTGAAATAATTAAATATAGCCCTATCAAGTGAAAAAATAGGTTTGGATCTCTGAGAACAAGTAATTTTACCATTAAATTCTTTTTCCATTTATAGATATTCAGATAATAACACAATTGTCAGGTTCTCTAACTTTACCATGTATTTATAACATTCAAGTTATTACATGCTGTACTGTTTGATCAAGTTCATTAAGCAGTTATTTATTTATTTTTATTAAGGTATCACTGATATACACTATCTCATGCCGCCATCTTTAATCTTAAGTAGTTATTTTATTCGTGACAACAGACCCCATGGGAAGTTTGTAATAAAACTTAACATGTAAATCTCAAAACTGTTTTTTGCCTTTGGTGTACTGTTTTGCTCTCCCAAATATATGGTCGCTGGCCACAGTGTTCCGAGACATAGGAGATACATCCATGAAACAATTAGGGAACATGAGTCTGCTAAGCTGCAGGGAAGAGAATGAAAAGGAAATTGTATAAAGCAAAACTGAGTTAGGGATAGGACTGATCACAAAGTATTATGTCATTGAGATAAAGTTTTCTGAGTGATTTAAGACTTGAGTTAGGACTTTGAAGTTAACAGCGTTAGCAAGTGCCATCTAAGCAAGGGCATGACAAAGCGTGAATTCTAGGGGAATTTTGCTTGACTGGAGCTAGAGGATTTAGTATCAGCAAAGCTGTGGTGCATGATGGCTTGAATGCCAATTGGGAGAGTTCAAATTTACTGTGGCAGTAGGAGGCATGTCTTTGAGTAGGGGAAAGAAATACAGTTTATTTTTTGAATTTTATTGGATCATTAGCTAGTGATTTGTTAAATTTCATTTTGTGCTATCCTATGGTAAATAAATGTCTTAATTCAGAATTGCTTTGTGCTATTATCATCTCTTGTTAAACTAATTAAGCAAGTCTGAGTTCCCTTTATTGAAAAAAGTTCCTTAAGTATAATGTGACCTTCAGGTCTCTATCATATACAATAATTTTTGTCTATTATTAGATGAGGCTTACACTCTACTTTTTTTTTAAGAGCACTAATACTAATAGACTTTTAAATCATTCTCTGAATTGGAAGGCAGTATAAAATGTAACACTAGTTACAAGACAAAATTAGCATACTAAATAGCTTAAAATCCATTCAAGTGTGAAATGGAATACTAGGTAGAAACACATAAAACATATGAGGTACTTTTTAAATGACTTATTTCCGAAATGAAGGCACACTAAGTTTATGTTCAACAAAGAAGATTGAGACAAGCATGTGTATTATGTGAGGGAATTTTATTTACTTTATGAGCAGTCAATTAAGTAAACAGTGGATATTTTTTTCTTTTTCGGATATATGACTTTACTCATTTAATAGTTATTTCCAAGTGACAGATAAATATTGCTTGTAAAATGGTGGAAACTTAACATTTCTACCTAATCATTCTTCTCATTTCTAATTTGTTTATCATTTTAGTTAATTTTCACTGTGGAATACCTCTTTAACTTCTTATTTAGCATTGCTTATTAAATGCATCATGTTGTCAATCATTTTGACACTGAAAAAGAAAATGTTCTAATTAAATTTGTGAATTATATAGATGTCTCATAATTTCATTGTCATATCATAAGATAGTATAATCAAAGACCAGCAAGAATATTACATTGTTTCTGACAGTGTATTTTTTAAACACTGGCTCTTAAATATGTTTTACTGTCTGTTTCTGTAGTTTCTACTTTTCCTGTAAAACTGTGTATCTTGTTTTCACCTATTTCTAATTTATTTCACTTAATCACCTCAAAAAACACTTGTATGTCAAATAATATTTTTGACATAATATCCCACTCCACCTTCTTTGTCTTCCTCTTTATGGCAGTGATTTTAAAACTCTGGTGTGTATCAAATTACCTGAAGATTTTCTCAAAAATATATCCAAGGTGTGGGAAGCAGATATTTACATCTATGATGACCATCCTAGGTGGTTCTGATGCACATGAAAGTGAGACTCCTGAATATGTTGATAAGGCAATACCTAGATATGATGCCTTTCCTCCTCCTGGTGCAACAGATGATTTCTCATTCACTTTTGCAGATTGAATGTATAGCTCAGTAATAATTTATGCAGCATTCTTGTTTTCCTTTGCTTTCTTTATAAATAAGATTTGCTCTTGCAACATTCAAAGCTTCTGGGAGTCCAGGGACCCTCAAGCAAGGAGGGCTTTCATAGGGATATAGTGTCTATTGTCAGTGGTCAGAAATAATTAGGTTATAGGTTTGAGTATTTAAACATCTTGAAATGATTTTATTAATAAAGTCTACCTTTGTACTTTATGCAGTGAAAGTGAATTGCTTAGTAGGTACAGTTCTTTTAAATAAGGTTTTTAAGTCTCTAAAAATTCATCCTGCTCTAACATGCAATCCTAAAGCCTTGTTTTAATTTTACATCAAAGGACAAAGAAAAATATTAGCAAAAAAAAGCTGATGTTGACAAAACAGGCTTTAATGCAAGAACTCTTCCTAGATATACAAAGGAGAACTACATAATGATAAAAGGATAAATCTACCAAGAAGATATGATAATACAGTGTTTTTTAATTTATGGGTACTTAATAACATAGGTTTAAAGTACATAGAATAAAAATTGTCAGAGAGGTACTCTGGTATGCAAAGCCATGTAAAAATACATGAAATTGGATCCAGCCAGAAAAATCACCCCAGATATAACAGAAAAACAATAAATATTTTAGAATGTAACATGGGATGATAATATGTCTTCAGCATTAGATAAGCATTTTCCAAAAGAGACATTACTGATTTTAATAAAGAATATTGACAATTTTGTTTACATAAAAATTACTTCTGGCTATCAAAAGACACTTCAAAGAGAGAAATGATAATCTACAGAATGAGAAAATTATTTGTGATGGATATAACCTGCAAAAAATTAGTGCACAAAACACATAAAGAACTTGTAGAAAACATATTTCTAAAAAACATAAAACAATTTTTAAAAATGGGAAAAGATTTGAACAAGTACTTCACAAAAGAGCAATTACAAATAGTCAGTGGCTATGCAAAAATCTGCTCAGCCTGTTTGTAATCAGGGAAATGTAAAAAACACATTGAGATCCTACTACACAACTATCAGATCGGCAGAGGTAAACAGTCTAATATACCAGGTGTTGAAAAGGATGTGGAGCTCCGGAAGCAGTCATAGACTGCCTGAGTGTAAATTCCTCCAATTTGGAAAATAATGTGGCATTATATAGTAAATGTGATAATGCACACACTCTATGATCTTGCATTTGACTCTTAGAACTTACATCACAGCGTATTTCTAATAGTCTCAAACTAGAGAACCCAAAGGTCCATATGCAGTAAAATGCATGAATAAATAGTGATATATTCGTTCAATGGAATGGAATGTTATATAGGAATGATAGTGAATGAATGGGAATTACAATCATATGGATACATTCTATAAACATAATTTGTGGAAAGGAGGCTAAGTACAATGGAATCTACAAGGAAAGTATTACCCTAAAAAAGGAAAGTATAATGTTGACTTCCGGAGGTCAGGCAAGGAGGTGGGAGTGGGGTGCAGGAGTTTTGAGTTGATGCCTGCATTGTTTCTACACAGGTTTTCTATGCAAACCTTCATTGTATTGGCCATTGATGTCTTATTTTTTTCTCATATATTTATTACATTTCACAATAAAAAAGTAACAAAATTAAATTTTCCCTTAAAGCTTGAACACCATTGTTACAACACTAAATGCAATCTAAAGAAAAGTAAACATTCACAAGTGCTTTCTTTCTCAAATAATTTGAATTTATCATTTGCATATAGAATCACCTGATGGTTGTCATCATGAATTCATAGTTTTAACAGAGCTATCAATAATGGTTCAATGGGAATAATGAAATTATGATTAATTTTCTGTTAACTATTAAGGTATAAATGTAACTCCATATTACACTACTGCCTTCATCTTTTATTGATGTAAAATGGATAATAGGAATTATTTTTAAATATTTTATGTTGAACTTTATATTATTCCCTGTTTTTACTCTTATATTAAATGTGACTTACAATTATACTTAACAGATTTTATTTTTTGTGTGATT